TAATGAAAGCGAGTAATAAAATAAGTTATCAAAACAAGGATGACTGTAGGGAATTTTTATTTCAAGATAATTTATTGCCAGTTTCCTCTTTATAAAAAGTCATTTTTTTATGCTTACAAAACTACGACATGCATAGAAATGCTACGTCCTTTGGATTCTAAAAACCAGTTTATAGTGTGGCGTACCTCCCTGCCATCCCCCCTCTGCATGTGATTCTCTTTGTTTTAAATCTTCGAAGGAAAGCAGGGTGGTGGGAGTGAGGCAGCTGGCTGAAATGTTGGTCCTGGTAGCCCTTCTCCTCCAAGGAAGACGGAGGAGATGGAGGCTGAGACCCCTTTTTGCTGTCCATTTGGGCTCTGGGCATCAGAAGAGAGAGATGTCTGCGCCTTTTAAAGTTCGGAGCTGTTCATTTCCCAGCACTTTAGTAATTAGGTGGGAAAAGCTCATCTGATTGTATTTTCAAACTTCAAAACGTATTTTTGAAGAGACATTTTTTTTTTATTGGCATCTTAAAGGGATTTCATAAAAATTAGAGAATGATTTAAGTTTTGTAAGTTTATTTTATACTTGGAGACATCAATTTATTTGCAAGCAAGCTTGATTTTACTCTTGATTTCCTATTTGTCCCCCATCTACACTAATAAAAGAGAAACATGGTAATTGGCGTACGACCGCTACCCTTTTCATTGGCTAATCAGCGAGATATGCAAATTAACTGTCAGCCAAGATGGCGGCCGGCAGCCAGGCAGCTTGAAACTAACATGAGGCTTGCTTGCCTCAGTGACGGAGGAGGATCGATGGAAGAAACCAAGTTCCCCACCTGCGGCTGCAGGCCTCTGAGCGGGCAGTTTAAGAAACATTGTAACAAATACCGCTGGACTTCAGCCAGCAGATTCGCAACATTGTAAGCAAAGGCCAGAAACCTACTTTCAGCCGCGGAGGCCTAAGAGCTGGAGCCAAGCCTCAAGGTAAAGCTGGCCCAGAATAAAAAAGAAAAAAAGGAGCGGTTGGGAACTTCAGTCACTCCCAGCCTGAAAACAGCCCTCAGCCCCTCACCTGGACTGGTCAGGCACCCCAGTGGGGACCCCCACCCCGATCCAGGACACCCTTCAGGGCAAACCAGCCGGCCCCACCCATGTACCAGGCCTCTACCCTATATAGTAAAAGGGTAATATGCCTCCCGGCACCGGGATCAGCTTGACAGGGGGCAGCGCCCAAACACCCTGAGCGCCCTGCGGCTCTGTGTGTGACAGGGGGCGGGGCCCCAACCCCCTGATCGGCCCTGCTCTGTGTGTGACAGGGTGCGGTGTCCCCCCCTGTTCCCCTCCCCCGCCACGGGCCCTGCTCTGTGTGTGACGGGGTAGAGCCATAACCTCCCCATCGGCCCTGCCCTGAGTGTGAGAGTGGCGGCACCACAACCCCCTGATGGGCCCTGCTCTGTGGGTGATAGAGGGCAGCGCCCCAACCCCCTGATGGGCCCTGCTCTGTGCGTGACAGGGGGCTGCGTCCAAACCCCGATTGGCCCTGCTCTGTGTGTGACAGGGTACAGAGCCCCAACCCCCCTGATGGGCCCTGCTCTGTGAGTGACAGGGGGAAATGCCCCAACCCCCTGATTGGCCCTGCTCTGTGCATGACGGGGTGGCACCGCAACCTCCCCATTGACCCTGCCTTGAGTGTGACGGGATGGTGCCCCAACCCCCCAATCGGCCCTACCCTGAGCGTGACTGAGGGTGGAATCACAACCTCCTGATTGCCCTGCTCTGTGTATGACAGGGGGCGGCGCCCCAACTCCCCAATCGGCCCTGCTCTGAGCCCGACCAGGGGCTGCACCTAGGGATTGGGCCTGCCCTCTGCCACCCGGGAGCAGGCCTAAGCCAGCAGGTCATTATCTCCCGAGGGGTCCCAGACTACGAGAGGGCACAGGCCGGGCTGAGGGACGCCCCTCCCCCCCGAGTGCACAAATTTTTGTGCACCGGGCCTCTAGTGTATACATAAATGTGTAAGGACGCATGCAGTCACACAAAATACTCATGAAATGAAAATCATGACACAGAGTCAAGATTTCCCAGTAAATATGGTGAACTTTTAAAAAACAATTCCTTTTATAAAAATTACTCATGCTTACTTTAAAACCAAAAGGAATTTAGAAAGTTCAAAGAAGAATGCAAAAGTCATGTGAAAACTTGCCAAGCCATGAGAACCACTCTACAAATGTTGGTACATATACTTCCAGACATATAGTCTGAAAAGAATTAAAACACAAAGCAAAGGAAACCAGAAGAGCCTGTGTGATTTTATTAGGTTTCACAAACTGCCAGAAGCACCTTTTAAATCCCAGGAGTTACACTTCTCAACAAAGAGCACATAAGAAGAAAACAAACCAGTTATGAATGTATGTCCCCCAGATTCAGGAACACCCAGGGGTGAGCTGACTCGGGGCTGCACTTCGCTCTCCCCTGCCCAGGGAGCTCACCTGCCCCGAGGCTGGAGTGCCCACTGGCCCAGCCGCCCGGACTGTAGCTCGCAATGCTGTCTGTGTGCCCTTCGGCTCTTACCTGTCCCCTTCTGCCGGGCCAGCCTCTCGGCCTCACTGGGAGCAGCCGATGTCAGGTGCTCCCCTGGGCTTCTCAGGCTGCGCTGTCCGGTGGCTGTGCAGCACCTCCAGGAAAGGCACAGGCCTCCTGCTTCCTCAAAACAATGAAAACAAAGACCCTAATTAGTTCGTTGAATTGTTGTTCCGTGTTTTACTGTTTCCAGATGAACCAAAAACTGCTGAGGAACCATGAGGAAACCTTTTACGTTGATACTCTTCTAAGAAATCCTATCAGCCAGCACCATGCACGTGTTCCCGTGTGGACCAGGGCCGTGTGCTGGCTCTGCCGCCCTCTGCACAGCAGGGCCAAGTACACACGTGCCCTGCGCGGCCTCCGGCGAGAGCCCGCAGTTCAGCTGGTGACTCTGCAGGTGGCACACGTGGTCCCAGCAGCTGGGCGTGGGGCAGCGCTTTCCCCGTGGCGAGCAGGAGACAGGAAGGGCAAGCTGTGCCCAGGCCCTGCAGTTTTCTGTTACAGAAACATCACCCACAACTGAGACCGTACCTCAGGTAATGTAACATTAATAAACACAACGCACACTTAGGCATTATTTTACCAAAGCACAACTTCAATTCGATTTAATTCTAGGGCACATCTTGGTCCCAGTATTTTATTTTTAAAACTGACGTTAAGGGCATTTCAATTTATATATTATATTACCTCTGATCATAACAGACACTGTTTTATGCAAAGCTTTTAAGTCACAATAAAATAGTGATGAAAAGGCAATAACTTGTCTTTTCCCATTAGCTTTAAATTGCATCATAGTCCTCTAAAATATTTCACGTGGTATACGACTACTGTTTCCTTGTCCTGCTGTCCGAGGTGTACCTGTTGTCCTGCGTCCTTCCCTGAAGGGACCCGCCTTCTTATTCAACTTTCCAAACCCTGACGGTCCTGGGTCCTCGCCGGCCTCCAGGGGCCCCCAGCTCCACGTCACAGTCCGGGTCCGCGCTGCCGGATGCACTTTCTAGAGCAGCAGTTCTCAACCTTCCTAACGCCGCGACCCTTTAATGCAGCTCCTCAGGTTGCGGTGACCCCCAACCGTAAGATTATTTTCGTGGCTACTTCATATGCAGGATGTTTTCATTGTTACAAATTGAACATCATTAAAGCACAGTGATTCATCACAAAAACAGTATGTAATGATATATGTGTTTCCGATGGCCTTAGGCGACCCCTGTGAAAGGGTCGTTCGACCCCCAAAGGGGTCACGACCCACAGGTTGAGAACCGCTGCTCCAGAGGCACATCCGTGGCCCCCGGGGAAGCCAAGCAGGGGCTTTGGGACTGTGTCGGCGAGGCAACCGCAGGGGGGCAGCTCACCCGGCGCTGAGGAGGGCCCCGGGTGTACGGACCGGGCACTGCCATCCCGTGGACCCAGGGCCGCCTGCGGCCGGCTCCGGGGAGGCCCAGGCCAGCAGGGGCCGCCGGCGGTCCGGCGTCAGCCTCCGTCCCGAAGCCGCGCTGGCGGTGCTCGCGCCTCGGCAGCAGCTCCCTGACAAACCACCGTTAAATATGGGCCAAGCCCGCCGGTGCGAGAGCCCGCCGTGTCACCATCTTACCCTTTCCCCTTTATTTAATTATAATTTTAATGGGTGGTAACAGTCTAAAGAGTCTGCCTCTTCGTCGGATGTTTGATCCCTTGCACCGCTTTTGGTCTGAGTTGCTCCATCAACAACACGCCGCCGGTGCCGGTGCCGCGCCCCCTCCAGTCCCTCTGAGGAAACGGGAACCCCACCCCCGCCGCCCGGAGCCGGTCTCTGTCGCAGGCGCCTCCGGTCCGGCGACCGCAGGGTCGCTCCGCTTCCGGGGACGCTCCCGACAAAGGCCACGGAGCCTCGCTGCGCCGCCGCCGCCTTCAGCTGAGGGCCCTCGGCGACCGGAGGTGGCGGCCCCGGAGTCGTCCTCCTTCTACCGTCTCCCCCCGCCTGGTCGGCACCCGCGGCGCAAGTGACCCGCTTACATCTCCTGGGATGGGATGGATAACGGGGCGAAAACCGCCTTTGTCCGCGACAGACGTTCAGATTCTGCTTCCAGGCAACTGTCAACAGTTTGGCTCAAATAAACTCACAAAAATCGGATGCAGGTTCGAATGTTTCCTCAGGGTAACCGGTGCTGAGCACAGGGATGTCTCTCCTCAGCGCCCAGAGGCGGCTCAGGAGACCTCGGCGCAGGGACCCAGGGCAGCTCCGCCCCAGCCTGCCCTGCGCGAACCTTCCGGAAAGGGGCGAGCCAGGCCCCGCCCATGCTGGGGAAAGCCTGGCTAGGATTGGCGGTGCCGCCACGCTCTGCAAGGCCCTGGCTTCCGGTCCCGCGGCCCCGCCTCCATCGCCGCCGGAGCCGCCCTGGGACCCCGCCCGCGCGGAAAGGGGGAGGAGCCTCTTGCGCGGAGGGCTCCACTGGGGTCGGGCGGCCGTCGCCGGCTTAAACGCCAGGGCCGAGGGTCACGTGGGCGGGCGTGGGGGCGTGGCACCCGGAAGCGGCCTCCGGATCGCCCCGCCGCCGCCCGGCCGGACCCGGTGCCCTCCTGGGTGCCGCTCGCCCTGCCCCGCGCTGGCTGCCGCCCCCGCGCCCCCCGGCCCCCCGGCGCCGCCCGCCATGGGCGAGGAGGACTACTACCTGGAGCTGTGCGAGCGGCCGGTGCACTTCGAGAAGGCGAACCCCGTCAACTGCGTCTTCTTCGACGAGGCCAACAAACAGGTGGGAGCCGGCCCGCACCCTCCTCCCAGCACGGCCTGGACCCGGGGCCACGGCCGCCCGCGCGCCCGGCGGGGTGCCGGGACCAGCCGGGCCTCCGCCCGCGCCTTCCTGTCGGAGCAGGGACCAGCCTCCTGCGGCCGGGCTCCCCCCGCCCTTGGGCCGCGAGTCCCGCGCTGAGAACCCCGTTATCCCGGGAATTTCGGGGGGAGCAGGGGGGGCAGAGCAGGCTGCTTATGCGGCGCCTCCCAGACCGAATGAGAACGCGGGGGGCCCGGGCCGTCTGCGCCGTTTGGGGTGGTAACCGTTTTGGTGTCTCCCCTCGTTTCTTAAAATTCACGTGAGCACCGGGCATCCGGGATGGGCGCGCCGCTGCCGGGTCGGCGGCACCAGGGCTGGGGTCGCTGTGGGCCGGGACAGTGTCCTCGCCGTTAAGGCTGCTTCTCTTCGCTCGCAGGTGTTCGCGGTGCGATCTGGCGGAGCCACGGGGGTGGTGGTGAAAGGCCCGGATGACCGGAACCCCATCTCCTTCAGGTAAAGTATTAACATGTGCAGGGTAAGGCCGGCGCGCACATGGCGTTCTGCTTCTCATTCGGGAGGTGGTGCTCACATGTCCTCTGCCTCCCGTGAGAGCGCTGAAGCCGCGCGTGCCCACCTGTGCCCGCAGGGAGAGGACCGGGCACGCGGACACCTTGTCCCAGCGACACGACGTGCTGGAGGGAGGAGCTCCCCTTGATTGGGAACCGGGTCCTCCCCAGGAGGGCGCCCGCTTCCTGGCGCTTGAAGCCGCAGGTCCTTGCGCTGTTGGCTGCCCAGCCGTGTCCTTTCCTGACGGGGACCTGCCGTCCTCCGGTCTTTGCAGAGTCTGGAAGGTGGAGGGGCTCCTGGTCAGGGTTTTTGGTAAAAACGTGTGTTAAGAAAACCAGCTCGGACTGTGCTGAAGGCGACCGGCGGGCCCAGCTTATGAGCCGGGTCGCGAGGAAGAGCAGCTCCGTTCATTCAGATCGCGGTGGTGACGCCCTGTGAGCCGGGTCACCGTGCTCCCGTGGTCACAGAAGAAAATGCACTGGAGCCCTCGGTTCGGGGGCTTGGAGTTTTTTAGCCGGCCCGTACGACAGGACACCTTTTTGAAGTAGAAAATGAATACCGCGGGCGGCGCCCGTGCGAGGCATCAGGCATGTGAAGGCTTTGGATCGCCGGGCGCCCTTCTGCAGAACGCAGAGCCGAGGTGTGGAGACGAGTGAGGGCACACGCTTCCTGGGCAAGTGCTGTGCCAAGAGCGTGGGCACCGGAGAGGCAGCATTGATGGAGCAGGAGGGGAAGGCCTCAGGGGAGGGAGGCGGCCCTCCAGCAAGCGTTGAGGGCTGGAACGGGATGGTTCTAGGTGCGGAAGGGAGGAGGCGGCTTCCCGATGGAGAGAACCCCACGGGCAAGGGCGAGCGAGCAGGGGGCGGGGACTCCAGGTCTGTGACTGAGGCCCATGTGTCCCTGCGGAAGGGGAGGCAGAGGTGTGGCCACTGGCAGGGTCAGCTTGAACCTTACCTGTTCCGCTGTGGAATCAGGGCTTTATCTGGTTCCTGAAGAGGTGAGGTGGGCGTGGGTGACCCTGTCAGTGTTTGGAAAGACCACGCTGGTCATAGCCTTGACACTGGATTAGTTGGGAGCCTGTCCGTCAGGGGGGAGAGGATGCCGGGGCCTGGGCCAGCGTGGTGCAGACCACACTGAGGGCAGTGGAGACTGGTATCGCAAAGGCCCTCGGCGTCAAAATAAGAGTGAGCCCATGAGGACCCAGATTTGGGGGCCCAGTAGTGTTTGAGGGGGAAGATACTGAATTTACCCTCTTTTAAAAACATGGTATTTTTGTTACTAGCCTTACTGTGGTATAACTATTAACTGAACATATTTAACAGTCACTGATGAGTTTTGACATGTGTGCACCGTGAAACCATCACCATCAAGAGAATGAGCACCCTACCGGAGCTTCCACACCCTCCGTCAGCCTCTCTAGATTTCCCTTTGTTGGAGGTGGTTGTGAGGCTTCTGGGCGGGGCCTGCTTGAGCCCCCGGGAGTGGGTGGACCGCTTGGTTCAGAAGCTTTGCTGTCCCAGCTGGAGAGAGTAGGCCGTCATCTGTGGAGGTGCCTGTGGGCATCGGAATAGCTCCTCCAGGCCACCGCCATAGAGCTCAGATACAGTGGGTTGTAATGTGTTTGCTGGTGGAGGTCTTGCCTTCACTTTGTAAAACTGCAACGTCTGTGAAGCGTTATACAGTGAAGTGCAACATCTGAAAAGAGGTACTACTGATAGCATCAGAAACATAAGTTTAATTTTAAGCTAAGATTTGCTGCTTCCTGAATATTTAATTTCTTTTCTTCTCACAAATGATAGAACCTGGAGTTCAGTTATTAAATGGAACTCTTTTTTTTTTTTTTTTTTTTTTTCGTGTTTACTGATATTTTATTCAGTGGGATAGGCTTTTTTCTCACCTTCAAATTTAGTAAAGTACATTTCTTTTTTTTTTTTTTCTTTTTTTTTAATTAAATCTTTATTGTCCAGATTATTACATTTGTTCCTCTTTTTTTTCCCCATAACTCCCCTCCTCCCAGTTCCCGCCCCACCCTCCGCCCTCACTCCCCACCCACTGTCCTCATCCATAGGTGCACGATTTTTGTCCAGTCTCTTCCCGCATCTCCCACACCCCTTTCCCCCCCAAGAATGGTCAGTCCATTCCCTTTCTATGTCCCTGATTCTATTATAATCACCAGTTCATTCTGTTCATCAGATTATTTATTCACTTGATTCTTAGATTCACTTGTTGATAGATGCATATTTGTTGTTCATAATTTGTATCTTTACCTTTTTCTTCCTCTTCCTCTTCTTAAAGGATACCTTTCAGCATTTCATATAATCCTGGTTTGGTGGTGATGAACTCCTTTAGCTTTTCCTTATCTGTGAAGCTCTTTATCTGACCTTCAATTCTGAATGATAGCTTTGCTGGATAAAGTAATCTTGGTTGTAGGTTCTTGGTATTCATCACTTTGAATATTTCTTGCCACTCCCTTCTGGCCTGCAAAGTTTCTGTTGAGAAATCAGCTGACAGTCGTATGGGTATTCCCTTGTAGGTAACTGAGTTTCTTTCTCTTGCTGTTTTTAAGATTCTCTCTTTATCTTTTGCTCTTGGCATTTTAATTATGATGTGTCTTGGTGTGGTCCTCTTTGGATTCCTTTTGTTTGGGGTTCTCCGCGCTTCTTGGACCTGTAAGTCCATTTCTTTCACCAGGTGGGGGAAGTTTTCTGTCATTATTTCTTCAAATAGGTTTTCAATATCTTGCTCTCTCTCTTCTGGCACCCCTATAATTCTGATGTTGGTACGCTTGAAGCTGTCCCAGAGGCTCCTTACACTATCCTCGCATTTTTGGATTCTTTTTTCATTCTGCTTTTCCGGTTGGGTGTTTTTTGCTTCCTCGCATTTCAAATCATTGACTTGATTCTTGCGCTCCTCTGGTCTGCTGTCGGGAGTCTGTATAATATTCGTTATTTCAGTCCGTGTATGCTTAATTTCTAGTTGGTTCCCCAATTTAAGATCGAGGGTCTCATTAGTTTTCTTGTAGATCTCATTAAGTTTATCGGCGATTGACAATTTTGTCCTGTTTCTTTGTCTCTGCATTTTGTTATGCTTCCTTGGTGCACCCCCTAGTGGTCTTTGTGCGCAGTCTTATAGTTAAACCTTGATTGTTGTAGCTAATTCCAGGGAGGGTTTGACCTCCAGGCCAAGTGGCTATGAGAATCAGCTGTGTCAGCTGTGAGAGAACTTCTGTCCTCTAGGGAGGTGCTAATCTAGCCTTTGCCTGAGGCTATCCGGCAAATGCCTCTGTGCAGGGCTTGGGCGGGGCGGGTCGCACAGGATCAACAGGGTGGGCCGGAGAAGTTATGGCGGCTCTCAGTCCTGTCCCCAGGGGCTCTGCCTCTCTGAGTCCCAGCACCCGCTGCAAAGCTCAGAGAAAGCTGCACTCGCTCTGACTGAAGCCAGACAGTCCCGTTTCTCCCGTTTGAGTCTGGGTTCCTAAAGACTCGCCCGGATCTGGAGCTCAAGAGTCTGCGACTCCCTCCCGATTGGAAACGCCAACCGCGCCCTCCGCCGCCAGCCCGCTCCGCGCACTCCGCACCTCAGAATTTGACTTCAGCACTGCGCCTCCTCTGAGTGTCCATATGCGTTTCTCTTTCCTCCTAGTTGTAGGACTTCCACTCAGCCAGCGTTCCTGTGGTTCTGGGTGATGTCCCTTAAATGGAACTCTTAACATACTCTTTCTCCTTACAGAATGGAAGACAAAGGAGAAGTGAAATGCATTAAGTTTTCCTTAGAAAACAAGATACTAGCTGTCCAGAGGACCTCAAAGGCTGTGGTAAGACATCCCTCTAAATATGGCACAAAGAAAGCATTTTAGAAGTGTATTTGGAAGAGAATGAATTGCAGACTTCCAGTGTTAAAGGAGCCGCTTGTTATTTTAAAGCCATGAAAGCTGTAACTATGGAGCACTCCTGTATCAGCCTTTGGAGTTCTTGAAGAAAGATGTGAATGGATAAATACTGGTGATCTTAGTTTGTCCATTTTGATTTAAAAAACTAATTTGAACCTCAGGCATCTTTTGTATGGATTAATAGCTAGCATAGATTGTGCGAGGTATAATTTTGGCTGCTTTGTGAATTACCCTGTAAACTGGAGTAACTCCATTAAGTCACTTCTCTTTGAATGCTTGATCTAATGGGAACGTATTCACAGTTGGAGCAGTCTGCTGGCATTTGGCCCTTATAAATATTCATCATCACATTTGCAAAGGAGAGAAAAAACTGTTGACAGAGAGGCAGCCCCTCATTCCTTCCGTCGGTATTAGTCGCTAAAATGTTTGGAATGCCTCTTGTGCAGTGTGCAGCAGCACAGTTCTCTGAAATCAGCGATCTGGATTAATTTTCAAAATCAGTTTCTAAACCCTCACTGAATATTTGGATTCACTTTTTAAAAAAATTGAATTGTTAGCCAGCTGCTGTTGAGGCAGATTGTTGAAATTAGTCTTTTTATTTTTCCTGTCTTTGGGTTTTTTTGGTTTTTTTCTAATCACTTTTTAAATGTATTTATCTTTTTCTTTTGTCTGTTGTGTACTAAAGTAGGTTGCTGCCTGATCCAAATTTATCCTTGTGTTTTCTTTCTAGGAGTTTTCTAATTTTATCCCGGATAGTTCTCAGTTAGAATACACTCAAGAGTGCAAGGTACGGGCCACGTCCTTTCCCCTCTGGTCTGTGTTCGGCTGGGGGGCTGGTAGCTGAGTGCAGGCGGGAGGGGAAGTGCTTGTGCTGAGAGGTGCTGCCTGTGGGCTCCATGACCTGGACAAGCTGTGAGCCTGTTTCTTCATCTGAAGACAGAGATGGAGGATGACCTGGGTGGTGGGTGGCACTACTCCTGCTGCCCCGCCCTCTCTGGGCGACAGACCTGAGCCGCCTCTTTGGAGGTTTGCAGAAGAGGAGGTTTTCCCTTTATTGGTGATGTTTTCTTCCTCGGTCTGACCTTGTCATGCCCCCTTTCTTCTCTTTGGTGTAGATTCTGGCCCATGTTCATCAGACTTGCTGGGTGTAAATGAGGCTGCAGCAGGCGCAGCTCAGATGGCAGGGTGGCCCTGGAGACTGGCAGGAGTTGCCAGTGGAAGGGGTGGCTCTCGGCATCTCTGTAGTGTGTTTGCTAATGGAGGTGAGGGTAGGCTCCTCAACGAGGAAAGAAACATCGCCAAGTAGCTGCCCCTTCACAGGTTCCCCCCCCCCACCGCCCCCCCAGCAGCCATGTGCAGGCCTAGGCTGCCTGCCCTCCGGCCCGGGCCCTGGTTCACCAAGGGAGTCGGGCTGTGGCTCCAGCTGCAACCCCACCTGGGTCAACACTCAGTGAGAACCTCTAGGCCTTTATACTTTTACAAGCTGTGTGACCAAGAGAGGTCAGCTGTCCTCTGGTCCTAACGGGAGGAGCTGAGCACTGAGGGCTGGTTGGTTACCTTGCTGCTTCTCCTGCTGATCTGCTGACTCGGGCACCTGTGGGTGTTCCAGGTGAAAATCCGGGGTCACTGTATTGAAAAGAAGGTTCGATTTGTTACAGTAGCTTTCGTTAAAGAGCAATACAGGGCATTCTGCGTTTTCTTTTCAGACCAAGAATGCCAGCATACTAGGGTTCTGCTGGACCAGTTCCACGGAGATCGTCTTCATCACAGACCAGGGAATCGAGTTTTACCAGGTATCTGTGCGTCACTGCTGCTGGAGGAAGGTCTGCAGGAGCAGCTTGGCGGTTTGTGAATTCAGCACTAAATAGACCGTTTGAGATTCCAGAACGTTAATCTGTTGACTGGGCTTTTTTCTAATTATAAGTAACAATGCTTTTTATGAAATGTTCAAACATTACTGAGATAGAGTATATGGAAAGTAACAGTTCCCTATAGTCTCTAGAACACACCTGTTAGAAAAAGGGCGCCACTCCCCGACATGGGGGGCATGGCGTTCAGCCGATGCTGCAGGCGGGTGGCTGATGGGCGCCCGGCTGGGGTCCGTTTGCTCGTTTCCACGGTGAGGGAAGGTCGCTGCTGCTGGCTCTGGTGGCTGGTGCCTGAGCAGGTGAGGCTCGGCGCTGGGTCGTGCAGGGGAGTGGCTGCCCAGACCGTGACTGTGTGGCTGAGCTCACTTCCCCTCAGGGTTGTGGGCAGTCAGTGAGCCGGGGTCTGTACAGCACGAAGCACACCGATCCATGCCTGGAAGCTGTCGTAGCTAAAAATAGTACTTTTCGATTTAAGTTACTGTTTTTATTACTTTTTAACTTACAGTCTGCTGACACTTGGCTGCTCTTTAATGAAGGCTGTCTCGCACTCGCCTCAGGTGTTGCCGGAGAAGCGGAGCCTGAAGCTCCTGAAGAGCCAGAGCCTGAACGTGAACTGGTACCTGCACTGCCCCGAGAGCTCCGTCATCCTGCTCTCCACCACCGTCCTGGGCAGCGTGCTGCAGCCCTTCCACTTCCGGGTGAGAGCAGCCTCTACAGCGGTACCCCCGACCCTGAGTGCCCCCTGCAGTACTTCAAGGGCAAGTACTCCAACACTGACCGTGCCTCATCCGACCACTTGCGGCGCCTGTGTCTTCCCCCCTCCAGGGCTGGCTCATTCTGGGGGACAGACCGGGAGTGCATTCTGTGCCCTCGGTGACGGTAGGTAGGGAACACAAAACATCAAGGGTCAACACACTTCCTAACACTTTCTTTCCCCACAGGCTGGCACCATGACAAAGCTGCCCAAGTTTGAGATTGAGTTACCAGCGGCGCCCAAGTCCACTAAACTGAGCCTTTCTGAGAGAGACATTGCCATGGCAACCATGTACGTTTGTCTCCTGAGAGACTTCCTTTTGTAATTGCTTTTAGTGATGCAGCTACTAGCAGTGCGTTACAAATACTCAGGTGGCCATGGACCAACAAGGACTTCCCTTCCCTGTTAGTGCCGGGGCCTGTGACCACAGAGCTTACGAATGCCGTCTTCTTGGCCTGCGTTTTAGATTTTGTTGGCTTCGTGGTCTGAGGAAAGTCCTTTTGCCATCTAATCGGATAAAATGAGAACATTGGGCCGATTCACACCCCTCCCCCTTCACTTTGTAATAGCCGCTTCGTTTTTGACGAGTGCAAGCGTGCTGTTGGCCGCAAAGTATTCCATGAAGCGCTGTTCCATGGTTTACTGGACGAGAGCCGCAGACTCAGCACTGAGGATGGAGGGCTTCTCACAGCACACGTGACTGCGTCTGTTCTCTCACAGCTACGGGCAGCTGTACGTCCTCTTCCTGCGGCACCACTCGCGGGCCTCCAGCAGCGCGGGAGCCGAGGTGGTGCTGTATCATCTGCCCCGGTACGCGCTCGGCTGCTCCTCTCCCAGGGGACGTGGGAGTTGAAGCTTGTCGACCCCTTGTGACCTCTCTGTTCCCACAGAGAAGGCGCCTGTAAGAAGACGCACATCCTGAAGTTGGGCCGCACGGGGAAGTTCGCCCTGAACGTGGTGGACAACCTGGTGGTCGTGCACCATCAGGACACGGAGGTGGGAGCCATGGGGTCAGGGCTGCGTGGTACGCGTTGGGGTGCTCAAAAGAGTTGTGAAAATGAACAAAGCCTTCTTAACACAGACGAGAAAGTGCTTTCTATGCTAAAGGTTTTTAGGTAGTTTAGAAGAAACAGTGATTCCGTGTCATTAAGAATAATTAAAAACTCTTTCAGAAAATAGCACATGAGGAGAGTGACTTTGGAACAACTGTCTCAGCTGTGTTCACTGCAGACCCTCTGCTACGTGTCTCCCTGTAGGTCCTTTGTGAGCAGGGATGAGCATGGTTTGAGGCCGTGTGGCCCAAGAAAAAGAGGTGGGATGGGTCCTGCTCTTTCTGTGCCACTAGCGGGCGTCTCCCAGGCCTCCTGGAGGTGCCACCGTGGCTCTAATGAGTTGGGACTGAAAGATCTTCTAATGCCCCTTAGCGGGAGCTTGTCAGCCCTGTCAGGACTCTCTGTGAGGGAGATGGAAATGGGAAGGACAGTGGTAATGTCAGAGCACATTCTTCCTGGGAGAAGAACTAGGGATGGGATGCAAACACAGACTTTGTAAAATATATATATTTTTTATTGACTTCAGAGAGGAAGGGAGGGAGAGGAGAGAGAAACATCAGTGATGAGAGAAACATCGATTGGCTGCCTCCTGCACTCCCCACATTGGGGATCAAGGCCACAACCTGGGCCTGTGCCCTGACCAGGAATTGAACCTCAACCTCCTGGTTCATAGGTGGGCAAGCCACTGAGCCACGCCTCCCGGGCTAAACACAGGCTCTTTAAATGAATCTGAAATAGCAAGATAGGAGGTCATGAAAGGGTTAACCGCTGTGGTCTGTCTGGGCATTACAGTCTGTTCTTTTTCTGCACTTCAGACATCAGTAATATTTGACATCAAGTTACGGGGAGAGTTTGATGGCACCGTTACCTTCCATCACCCCGTGCTTCCTGCTCGATCCATTCAGCCCTATCAGATCCCCGTGGCAGGTAAAGGGAGTCACCATGTCGGTGGGGGCCACGTTAGGGTGCAGTGACGAGCCTGTGCAGAGAGTCCCAGATCTGTTTGCTTTCGTGAAGACGTTTTCTGGGCTTGTTCTCGACCTCCACTTCCTCTTCGCGTCACTACAGTTGCTGCAGGCTTTTAGAAGTGGTACATGTCGAGGATGTGTTGGCCGCACACTTACATTTTCTCCATGTGTAGGTCCCGCTCCTGTGACCAGCCAGTCTCCGGTCCCGTGTAAGCTCTGTATCCTTGACAGGCGCTGGCGCTGTGCAGGGAGCTCCTCCCGCTACCCTCCTGTCTGAGAGGGAATGACGTTTCAGGGACCGAAATGGGGAGGTTTCCTACCAGGAGGGATGGGCACTTGGCGTAGCCTCAGCCAACGGGTAGGGGCGAGTTTAATCAGAGCGGGTTTGCCTTTTGTTTCCATCACTTCGGGGCTAGAATTTCCTATAGCCTGCAGACTCCTCGTCCTGGATCGTCTTTCAGCCGGACATCATCATCAGCGCAAGCCAAGGTGGGTCAGAGGGGAGAGTGCCTGTTGCCCTGTATTTGGGGAGATGCAGCTTGAACATAGAGGGTTCGTGGTTGCCAGGTGTCTCCCGGGCACGCAGTAGTTTGGCTGTCAGTCCTGTTGTCAGCATGTCCTGCATGTCCTAGACTGGGCTTCGGTTTGTGAGAAAAAGCCATCGACTGCTGTGCAGTACTTTTGGGTTTTTGTTCTGGTTCGCGTCATACGATGACATCGCTGCCTCTCGAACCCAGGTTACCTCTGGAACCTGCAGGTGAAGCTGCAGCCCATCGTCAACCTCCTGCCAGACAAAGGACGCCTGATGGACTTTCTCCTCCAGAGAAAGGAGTGCAAGATGGTCATCCTGGCCGTCTGCTCCCAGAGTAAGGGGGGCTCCTTCCTGTCGTCCGAGTCCAGCCTGTGCTGCCCCACCTTCCCAGGCCTGTCTGCAGCCTGTGGCCCACTCTTCACTTGAAGGGTGGGTGACTTACACCCCCGGAAAGGCTGCTAAATAGAAAAAGGACTTGTGCCTGGCTGGTGTGGCTCAGTGGTTGAGCGTCGACCTATGAGCCAGGAGGTCACAGTTGGACTCCCTGTCGGGGCTGCCTCCCAGTCAGTGATATTTCTGTCTCTCCCTCCCTCTCTGAAATCAGTAGATGGATGCCGTATGGGAACTTGGGTAGAAAGACCACATAGTAAACCGGATGGTTCCAGGTGAAAGCGAGTCTGAGCCTGGGCGCACGTGGGGGCCCGGGCTCCCGCCCTCCTTTTAAAGCAAACATTGTTCAGAATCCAAGTCTCTTTCTCCCTAACTTCTATGTTGAGAATCTCACTGATACAGTCACAGCTACTCTCTCCAGGAGCCAGAAAGGGCCTGTGAGCTCCAGGCTTCAGGTCTCCACGCCGGACGCTCCTCTGGGTGCCCTTAAGGCACGTGTGTGCTGCTGGCCTGGGGGGAGTTCTGCCCTGGCAGCATGCGCTGCAGGCGGAGCTGGCTGACCTGTGCACACTGATTCTTCCCAGTGCTGAGTGGGTCAGACAGAGCGGCCCTGCCCGTGGTAGCCACTGTCTTCGACAAGCTCAACCAGGAGTACAAGAGGTACCTGGACGCCGAGCAGAGCTACGCGGTGGTGAGTGACGGGCGCTGTGCTGGAGGCTCCTCCGCCCCCACCTGGTAGTTGTGACTTTGGGGCAGAAATGGCAGTACACTCGGCATCCGGCATCCCGTTGGCGGGAGGCTCCATCTCCCTCAACGCCTCCCCCTCTTCTGTGGTAATCTGTTGGATCTTAGATGTAGATAGATCCTTGGTCTTCTAATTTTTAAAAAATATATTTTATTGATTTTTTTACAGAGAGGAAGGGAGAGGTATAGAGAGTTAGAAACATCGATGAGAGAGAAACATTGATCAGCTGCCTCCTGCACACCCCATTACTGGGGATGTGCCCACAACCGAGGTACATGCCCTTGACCGGAATCGAACCCGGGACCCTTCAGTCTGCAGGCTGACGCTCTATGCACTGAGCCAAACCAGTCAGGGCATTGGTCTTCTATTTTATAAATAAACTTGGTTTCGTCTTGGCATAACTTTTTTATACATGTTTCTACCAAGCCAGAGCCTAATCTTAGTTAATTAAAAGTAGAATCGTTTGCCATGTTTTTTTCCCTCTCCTACATAACGTTAGTGCACCCTGTCTTCTGAAGCCAGAAAGAAAAGGGGTTAGGATAAGTGCGATGAGTGATTTCACTTAAAGGACCTCGTTAGTCCTCAAGCTGAAAATGGAAGGTTCTAAGCAGTAACAGAAAGGCCAGCACGCGCCCCCCCGCCCCCAGTGACTCCAGGACAACAGGATGGCAGGCACTGCAGTGGCCAGGGCTCGGAGCTGTGGGTCTGCCCGTCAGACACGGTTCCGCCAGGCGGGGAGGCTGAGCTCGTCTCGCTCCTTCTCTCGGTCCTGCTGCTCTGTGGGTGTCGGCTGTCTGGTGGCAGTTTCTGTGCATCCTGCTCTGTGGCTCTTGGCTTCCTAAGCGCTGGCTGGTGGAGTGTGGTCCGTCTGCAGCCCTGCAGTGCCTGGCGCTGCTGAGCACTGCGGGCTCTCGGGCACCGCCCAGCTCCTGCCTCAGGGTCGGCACTGGTCTTGGGCTTTAGAAGTTAAGAGACGCCCTCACAGGTTTGGCTCAGCGGATAGAGCATCAGCCTGTGGACTGAGGGCCCAGGGTTCAATTCCGGTCAAAGGCACATGCCCTGGTTGTGGGCTTAGTCCCCAGTAGGGTGCAACAGGAGGCATTGATCAGTGATTCTCTCTCATCGTTGATGTTTCTCTCTCTCCCTTTCCCTTCCTCTCCGGAGTTAGGCAATGGAGTCGGTCTCGGAGCTTTCCGAGGCAGCAGGAGCTGGGGAGCCTTACTTGTTCAAAGTCTAGGCATAGACTCATTACACAGCGTGTCCTTTAAGATTAAGGCCTCATGAAGCACAGGTGCCATTTCATTCTTATTAGATAACAGGGGCCAGGTCGACTGTGATGGAGAGAATTAGGGAGTCAGTAAGAGGTTGAAAACAGGGTGCCGTCCCTTAGAGAAGACGATGCTTGTGCTGCTAGCTCCGTCCACCGTGAACGTGGGTTTTGTCAAGATGACCAGCCGACTTGTTTCTAGAGTAGACTCTGCCCAGAGAGCACAGGAAGTAGCTCCGTCCAAGTTGTGACCTGTGTCACCCCTGCTCAGGCTTGAGGCTCGCAGCATCTAGGAGTTCCGTCTTTTTTGGATTAACTGCAAACGCCCGTTACCTGGAGGTGGTGACGGTGACACCTGTAATGTGTTGCGTAGGCGGCGGAAGCTGGGCAGAGCCGGTGCAGCCCGCTCCTCCGCAGGCCGGTGCGGACCCAGGCCGTGATCGACCAGTCCGACATGTACACCCACGTGCTGTCGGCACTGACGGAGAAGAAGGTGAGTGACTGCCGTCAGCTGCTCTGGACAAAGGCTCTCAGAACAGATCCTTGGAAGGGACTTGAGGGAAACTAGGACTCAGAATAGCTGGTTATTCTGGGGAGGACCTATGCTGGCAGTTTGGCCTCTAACACTCAGGACTAAACATGTTCTTGATGAGGGAGGATCTGAGGGGGTTTGTGCAAAACCAGCCGCACGGCCCTGGGCCAGTTAATAGGGCAAACGGGCAGGAATAAAGGAAGAATTCCGTGGGAGCTCCTGCAGCTCCTCAGACCACCTTTGCTTTCTCCCAGGAGACGCCCCCCAAGTTTGTGATCGCCGTGCTGATGGAGTACATTCGCTCGCTCAACCAGTTCCAGGTTCCAGTGCAGGTACCTCCGGGCAGCATGGGGTCCAGGTCAGAGGAGCAGGGATCTCTAAGGCAGCAGCACTGTCCCTCTCCTGAGTACGATGCCGTCTATGTGCTAAGGGCTGCTGTCCTGACCCGGCGTCCGAGCCATTTCCTGACCCGCCACGTGGTGCTGCGTTAGGATGAGCCCAGTCATAAGAGGCTGGGCTCTTCCCCTGCACATGGGCCCCTTCTAATGATGGGAGCTCATCAGAGCCGCTGCAGCCCCGCCACACCTAAGCCCTGTCCCCTTGTCTGCCGTAGCACTACCTGCACGAGCTCGTCATCAAGACGCTGGTCCAGCACAACCTGTTCTACACGCTGCACCAGCTCCTGCAGTACCACGTGCTCAGCGACTCCAAGCCTCTGGTGGGTGCCGCCAGGGTTACTCTGTCGTTAACAGCGTCCAGCACCTTGTGCTGAATTGGCCGGAAACCTGTCTTTCAGGCGTGTCTGCTGTTATCCCTGGAGAGCTTCTACCCTCCTGCTCACCAGCTGTCGCTGGATATGTTGAAGGTAAGGTGCGTTCATGTTTCTGGGGCGTACGCGTCTGCTGTGCTGGCACTCACTTGGGCTTCTCTCCAGCGCCTCTCCACCGCGAACGATGAGATCGTGGAAGTCCTGCTGTCCAAGCACCAGGTGCTGGCCGCCTTGCGGTTCCTCCGGGGCGTGGGGGGCCACGACAGCGTCTCTGCACGCAAGTTCCTGGATGCTGCGAAGCAGACCGAAGACCGCATGCTCTTCTACACCATCTTCCGCTTCTTCGAGCAGCGGAACCAGCGCTTACGGGGGAACCCCAGTTTCACCCCAGGTGAGAAGGCGCAGCCGTGAGTCGGCCTGGGCAGCTGCAGGCTCCTGGCAGGACGACCCCGGCAGCGGGTGGGCCAGGAGCCCTCGGTTAGAACTCCTGAGTTCGGTGTTAAACAGTCACAACAGCCAGTCTCGCCCTCAGCCCGTCATTCATAGTGGAGTGAACTCCGTGTGCCCACGGACCTAACTGATCTGGAACTTGAAGTGTTTGGGGAGAAGCATATGCAGGCCGATTCAGGGTCTGAGCCAGCTCAGGTCTGACAGGTGCTCTTGGACAGGAACCTGTGCCTGAGGGTTTAAAGGGGCCTGAGGCTTATTAATGTTTCTGGGTCAGGCAGGAAACATGGGCAAGTCATCTGAGGTCCAAAGGCATGAGATCCAAGGGTGGGGAGGAACAGGCAACTTTATTTCAGGTCTCCCAGCTCTGCCTCGCTCGGAGTCAGGGCACTGGGACCACGACAGGTTAGCCCCCACCGCGGGTTGCTGGGGGCTGTGAGGTCCCTGACCAGGTTTGCAAAGGCGTGAGCTATAAAAATGGAAAGGACAGTCCAGAAGCTGAGGGACAGGGTGCTTATGGGAGAGAGGAAGTTAGACCCAGCACCTGGGAGCGGCTGTGCTCACCTGCTTCCCTCTGTGCCCCCAGGAGAACACTGCGAAGAACACGTGGCTTTTTTCAAACAGGTTTTTGGAGACCATGCTCTCATGAGGCCTACGACGCTCTGAAATCACACGCTCGTTTTTATATATAAAAATATGTATAAAGTTAATTTATTGCATTAATAAAGCTCTTTAAACTACAAAATACTATAATAAAGTACCTGCAACATCCTCAAATGTTACTAAAAATGCGGTGGAGTTTATGTGGTGGCTCACTCCTCAAAAAGGAGCAGCATTGCACTGATTGGCCTTCAGGACGGCCAGGGAGCAGAGCGCCTCCACAGCATCCAGTGTCAACCTTCCCTCGCTGAGAGTCGGGTTTCATGCCGGGAGAACTGGAGACGCATCCAGGGCTGCCTCCAGGGTTAGTAACACATTCCCGAGTGGACAGGCGCGTGGCCAGAGCGGCTGCTGTCAGATCCATCGCCTGAGTCTGGTGACGTCCAGTGTTCAGCTTAACCCGACAACGCAGCTCCTTCCACCAGGGAACTGACCGACCCGCAGACACAGTTCCAAGTCCCCAGGCCCCGTGAGGGGCTAGAAATTGAGCTGCTCTCTCTCTGTGCCTCTGTGTCGCTGTTGCGTGGCCAGGCTTTTGGCTTTATTGACGGATGGTCCTGGGAAGGAGAAAGCTGTGTCATTTCTTTAGGAGGTTTCTCCATCTACTTCAATGCTTCCACTTGGGTACAAAGCTATAAATTGGGTCGGGAACCTTTCTCTGCCAAGGGCCATTTGGATATTTGTAACATCATTTGTGGGCCATACAAAATTATCAACTTAAAAATTAGCATTTAAATGTATATTTTTATTTCGGAGCGGGAGGGAGAGGGAGAGAGAGAAACATCAATCTACTAGGGATCAAGCCCACAAGCCAGGCATGTGCCCTGACTGGGAGTTAACTGTGATCTCCTGGTTCATAGGTTGATGCTCAACCACTGAGCCATGCTGGTCAGCTTGGTCAAACGATTAACTTGCCCCTAATGCCTTGGCAGAGCCAGACCAAATGACTGCATGGGCCTCATACGGCCCTCGTGCCCGACATTCCCCATCCCTGTTATCAATCAAGCAAATCAGTCCTGTTCTTTCAACCATGAGTCGTCATGGCAGCCAACGAGCATCCTCAGGACGGATGGAAGTGAGGGGGCGGCAGAGGCCTGTTGCTGGACCAGAACTGGGGACACTGCTCAGCCGCACTGCGGGCTGTGGCCACGTGTCTCAGTGGAGGCGGCGCTGCCTGGGCCGACATCCAAACTCGTTCCCGGCCGGCCCTCTGGGCCTGTTCAGCCAGGCCGGCCACCCAGGCAGTCTTGGCCGTGCACTGAGGTGCGGGGACATGAGTCTTCTGAGACCGCACACTCAGTCCCGCTTGTAAATGACCCATCAGCACAGTTCAGATCCTTCAGAGCTGCTTTAGGCACCTGTCTCCTGTGGCCACAGGCTTCCCACCCCTCACTGAGGTCAGAGAGCTCACCTGTGTAGCTGAGGAGGACAGGAAGGAAGACCAGCCCGTGCGTGGCTCCCAGCAAGACCATAGCTAGGTACATCCTGAAGTAAAATATCTGGAAGATCTGAGACTTGGCAAAGGCCAACACCACGATCCCTCCAAATTTTGTAAGTGTGATTCCGCTGAATACCTGAAAGAGAGAGGGTGTTAGACCTGCTCTAGTCCCCAATCATAAGTGCACATTTCCTCATACAGGGACTTCTTAACTGTCAAGGTCAAAAGTCATGGGGGCCTGAGGCCCAGCTTTCAGAGTTCCTGCTAAGTACATGATGTGCAACTTAAAATGCTTTATGTACTGCTTGTGAGCCTGGAACAAAGACAGTGTACAAGGGAAAAAGCTTATTTCTCTGCATAGACACTATTCACACATTCCTTAATATTTTCTGTTGAAAACCAGTTTAAGTATAACATGGTTACAAAACAAGGTTTGTGTTACTCGGTAACAGTCCCTCTTCAGTAACAAGTGGTTGGTGGGTTAAGCCAGGGTGTGGGGTGAGAGTCTGCAGACACAGGACAGACCGCTCACTGGACCCTGCTGCCCGCCCATCGCTGGCCTGGGCTCATGGCAAAGGCTCCTGCTCGCTCACATCCACCCTGTTCTTCCTGCTTCGGCCACCCGGCTGCCCCAAGAGCTTTCACCCACAGGAACGTGGTAAAGCAGCCGGGTACAGCTATTGCATGAACTGCCTGAAACCTCGTCACCCCAGGAGCTGCTGCTGAGCAGAGGATGCAGATTCCCTCCTGAGCACTGGCTGGCCGAGCTCAGTCCACACCGACACCCCCGCGTTACTCACGGAGCTGCCCATGTGGGAGAGCGCCTCCTCTGCACGCGCCACACGGCTCCCCTTCGCGCTCACTGTGAAGGCCCTGGTGATGTGGGAGCAGAACTCCACCGAGATGCCGCAGCTCTGCAAGGAAGTGCCTCCTTGACGACCCGCCGTTTCTGGCTGAAACCACAGGCAGCCACCCCTTCCCAGGGAACCCCGGGGGAGGGCCCTAAGAATCCGCGCGGACGAGCACTGAGAAGCCCCGTGACACCAGCCTGAATGCCCTGGGGAGTGGGGGGGCCGTCGGGGAGGCGCCCAGCGCCCCAGATCATACAGCATGTCTGCTTGTCTCAGGGGAAGCGGGCACCCCCCACACCCTGCACGGGCCACTCCGCCTGACGCAGTGGCCACATCTGAACAACATGGACTGCTGCTACTTTCTGTTAATACCTGCTTGAACGCTCCCAGCATCAAGACTAATTAATTATTAACTATGGGAAGCAAAAGGTATTGGTCCGAGAATTCCACCAGAGAGGGGGCAATATTTCTAAATAAGTGACCTTGTTGCTGTCATTAGGCTGTTTTTGCAAACCCTACAGAAAAAGAAAGGCAAAATACCCGCCACGCTAGGCCATGACATCACACTCCACTGGTGCCCGTGACGTCCAGTCCCACTCACCCGCCTGTGGCCCCACCTCCATGTGCAGGGAGAGGAGAGCTGGGCCGTCTCTCCTGGAAACGGGCACCAGGAAGTGACCCAGAACTCACCATGACCAGGTTGACCAGGGAGACCGCGTTCAGGCTGATGCCCCACAGCCACATGACACCAAACATGTTGACCAGGATCATGGCGATGGTGACACACATGATCACCGCAGACCACAGCTCGCAGCCCAGCAGCACCACGGTCACCAGGAAGATGGCCCCCAGGGACACGCAGAGGTTGAAGACGGTGTCCTCTATGATGGTCAGGTACTGCTCGTAGAAGACGTAGAACACACTGTGGGAGGGGGAGACCATCAGCCGTCCTTCCTGGAAGCTCCACCCCCTCCAGCCACCATGCCACCCCAGGAGCAGGCAGCAGAGCCATGCAGAACACCCTGGGGTAGCAGGACTCGGGCAGGGATTCAGCGGGCCTGCGATGACCACTGCCCCCAAGGCCTAGCAATGACCCTATGCCCGTCTTTTATATAAAGTTTTTGTTCATAATCCCAGCCTACCCTGCTTTGCAGGCATTTATAAAAACTATTCCAGGGTATTTTGAAAAAACAACTCCTGCTCTATCCCAAAATTATCTCAGGCCAATAGGGCTGTGCAGGGCCAGAGGAGAACTGGTTTTCTGCCAAGTTCACAGCTCTTCCCAGGAATCAGGACACCCCTCTGAGAGCTTGTCCCAGAAAAACATCCATCCCCTGCCGGACAGGCGAGGGCCGTCCCCTGCCACACAGGTGAGGGCTGTCCCCTGCCACACAGGTGAGGGCCGTCCCCTGCCGGACAGGTGTGGCCCATCCCTAGGACACCCCATGTGTACAAGCCACGCCCACCTGTATGGAAACACGCGGTAGTTGCTTCCTCCCTGGCTCATGGTCTGGGTGATGTTACCAGCAATGAGCCGGGCCTTTCTCATGGCGTCGATGAAGTCAGCGGAGGTCTGGAGCACCGTGTGGTAGGTCATGAAGTAGGTGGCGCCCACACCTGTGTCGTTGCCCAGGATGTTAACGGCCGACCCGTAGGCAGCATGTCCCCTGGGAGAAGACAGTGGTGTCAGAAGGACCGCGCTCTGCACACCCCACAGAGTCCGCGCAGGCACAGGGGAGCCGCTGGCCGGGCGCAGGGCCGGCCCTCGTGGGGACGCTGAAGGGCTGGCTCTTGCCTCCCTCTGGCTTCTCCCCACTCTGGCGGTTGGTGCACAGCTGCTACTGTTTCTCATCTGGCTCTGCTCGCAGCCAATGCGTTTTCACATGAGTCTGCTCAGCAGTGATGTGAAACAGGAAGTGGGGAAGGAAGGCCATGGCGTGAGGTTGGCCTGCAGAGTGGCCTGGAGCCCTCGGCAGGTCCCTGCACTTGGGCGCAGCATCGTCTCTGCGGACGGGCACATTGCCAACGCGGCCGCGTGGCGAGCTGGGGAAGAGGTCGTGGTGCCTGCAGAACACGGCACAGAGGTGGCCACTGCTTCGTGCAGGCTGAGCTCACAGGGCTCATTCTGTGCAGGACAGACCCAGACCCAGACGCGAGGTCCATTTCTATTTCCCTTCACTCCCACAGAGCCTGGTACAGGTCTCAGAACAGACACGCTCTCCGTGACTAACGAGTGATGGACTCGGGACTAATCTGTATTCCTGGGAGAAAACAGGACGTCCGGGCCTACCTGACAGGCATCCTCTCCTACGACAGCTCCCGAGCCGCCCTCCCCCTCCCCCGGAGCCCCGTCTCCAGGCCAGATGTCCTGCTTCTGTGGGGACGGCGGCCTGGCTGCAGGCACAGGCTGGGGAGCAGCACAGTGGGGCCCAAACCATCTAAGCCTTAGCCTAGGACAGTGGTCGGCAAACTGCAGCTCGCGAGCCACATGCGGCTCTTTGGCCCCTTGAGTGTGGCTCTTCCACAAAATACCGACTTCTGCGCATGGGCCACGAAGTTTCAATCGCACTGTATGTGCGCGCCCACACGTGGTATTTTGTGGAAGAGCCACACTCAAGGGGCCAAAGAACCGCATGTGGCTCGCGAGCTGCGGTTTGCCGACCACGGGCCTAGGATGATCTCACCAGAGCAGACACTGGCCCCTGCGCCCACAGACATGGAACAGACCACTCCTCTCTGCCCACGGACCAGCAGGAGGGCCGGACAGAGATGCCCAGGGAGCAAGTGCCCAGCCAAGATGCAGTCGGCTGGAGACAGCGAGGAGCTTC